AAAAGGGTGCTCCAGGCAAGGAGCCCAGCAGAAGCAAAGGCACACAGTGTAGAAGAGCTTCCTTACACCTTGGCCCCAGCATGTCTTTCCATACTCATCATTCTACACTCCAGTCACTTATGACAATTCTCTCCTAATTCATTGAACTCAGCTCTATACTTTTATTCTTTCATTTACTCAGCCTTAAATTCCTCTTCCTTCTTCCTGGTGAACTTCTACTCATCCATCAAAGCCCAGCTCTCACATCACCCCTTTTCTGATGTCCTTCTTGACATCAACACTCTGCCTTGGGAGAAGCTGTGTCTTCCTCCTCTGTCCTGCCACCTGCTTTCATCTTACCTGAGTCATCACACTTGTCCCAGTTGAATTCTCGAATTTTTAATTTAATTTTTTAAAATATGTTTTTATTCATTTCAGAGGGAGGAAGGGAGAGGGAGAGAGAGATAGAAACATCAATGATGTATCATTGATTGGCTGCCTCATGCCCGCCACTACTGGGGATCGAGCCCACAACCTTGGCATGTGCCCTGACTGGGAATCAAACCCTGACCTCCTGGTTCACAGGTCAGCATTCAACCACTGAGCCATGCTGGCCAGGCTAATTTAATTTTTGATGCTGTTTATCTTATGTCTTTCTTTTCAAGCTAATTGACAAAGTTCTTAAAGGCAGAGCAGTGTATCAGTTAGGATGATTCTGTTGGCTGTGTGTGATAGAAAATCCAAGCTAACCCAGTAGTAGAGAGTCCTGGCTGGTAAGGCAGCCCCATTATCATCAGAGACCTCAACTTTTTTCCAAATTATAACTGTACCTTTCTCATTTTGTGGCTCTTTCTCATGGCTGCTTAAAGTCTATTCATCCTGTCAACATTCCAGCCACCTGGAAGAAAGAAGGGCCAAAGAAAAGAACAAATCCTCCCTTTAAGTCTGCCTTCAGAAAGTTGCAAACTACATTTTTATTTTCATTTCTTTGGAACTTAGTCATATGGTAATCTCCAGCTGCAAAGGAGCCTGGGAAATGTAGTCTCTATTGCAGACAGCCATGTACTCGGCTAAAAGCAGAAGTCTATTCCTAAGCAGAGGACAACTGATATTAGAAGACTGTTAGCAGTTTTTGCCATAGTGAAAAACAGGGAAAGATCAAGGATGATTTCCCTGAACCAGACTGAGCCGGCTGTGGGATCCCTGTGTCACTCACCAAGAAATGGAAGAAAATACAACAGCTACTATTAATTAATTGAGCACTTCCTGTATGTCAGGCACTAAGTGCTTACTTTATCCCCATTTTAGAGGTGAGGAAAACTGAGTCTTGGTGAAGTCTGGACCAGCTCGTTGGGGCAGAGAGAGGATTAGAGCAGAGGTTTAGTGGTTTATAAAGCACCTGCGTTCTTAATTGCTGCCCTGTTCTACCACTCAAATGAGTTCCGAGCCATCTGAGGACCAGCAGTGCTGAACTGGGAGGGGAAGTGGAGGGGATGAAGCCACGGGGGAGCATCTCTCCAAACCCTCCAGTTCCTCTTGCCTGCCCTTTCTGGCTATCAGCAGAGATCCTTGCCCAACAGTCTCTTTTATCTAAACCCAACGCCTGCAAGTTTTACTTTGGAAAATAATTACCTGTAGGAAAGTGGGAGTATTTTGGAATCAGACCCAGGCCACTTCTTCTTGCATACCTCCCATGATGGGAAGCATAGTATCTCTCAAGGCAATTCACTGCATTGTTAGATAACATTTACTTTTAGAAAGTCTTCCTTACCTTGAGCTGAGAGCCGTGTTCTTTGGTAGTTCAGGGTGCATATTCTTCAGTTAGCTCAGTGGTTCTAAACAAAGGATCATTTTGCCCCCCAGTGGATATCTGGCAATGTCTAGAGGTATTTTTGGTTGTCATGACTGGAAATGGGAGAGAGGTGCTACTGACATCTAGTGAGTAGAAGCCAGGGATGCTGCTAAACATCCAGCCAATGCACATGACAGCCCCCCACAACAAAGAATTATGAGTTCAAATGTAGAATGAGAGCGGAGAAACTCTGAGTTAGATAGACCTAGGTTTGAGTCTTGGCTTCGCCAACTGCTTCCTGGCTGTATGGCCGCTCTGAGCCTGAGCTGACTGCCCCACCCCACTATCTCCAGTGATCCTCAACAGTCCAGGGAAGGAGGTCATAATATTTTCCTATAATACAGCTGAGGAAATTGGGGACCTGACTGTTTTCTCAGGTTCCCCACAACCCATCAAGTGGCAGAGCCTGGGTGAGAAGGTGAGAGCGTTCTCTCTCCATCACCTGCTTCACTATGGACACAATGCAATAAAGAACCTACAGGCTCCTCCTACCTTTCTTCTCAAAATGCCCTGTCCAGTGTGCCTCCTCTAGCTCCTATTCTGTCTCCTCAGAGCACATCTTCTCACCAGCCAGCACCGCCTCTGAAGGCTTGGTCTTGACCCTAGAGAGGGTACCTCAGAACCCAGTGGTGTCTGGACAGACTGAGAGGAGTGTGGCCTCTTGGTGGCATGAGGCGAAATGAGGATCTGTGTCCCCAAGTACCTCCATCCTGTGCCAGAGTGCCATAACATTAGTTATCTCACTGAGTAGGGTCTGTTCAGAGATTAGGTGAGAGGAGGAGAGTCTAGGAAGGACTTAATGAGCCTATGTATGACCTGGGCAGCCACACAGGCCCTGGGCACAGGATCCCAGAGTTTGGTTTAAAGTTCTGCTGTCTCCATCTTGAAATTCTTAATAATATTTTAATTTTTAATTGGCACTGGGCCCGCAGATTATTCAGCCAGTCATGATGTGGCCACTCCTGCTGTCCTCTTGGCTGCCCGCCCTGTAGGGCCCATTTTTTCAGGCTCAGTGCTGGAGTCACATGTTCCCTCAAGCTTCCCCCTCCTCTTCTGACCCCCCCACCCCCAGCCGTCAGCGTTGCTCAGGGAGGGGTAGCCTCCAAGTGCCATGTGTATGCAGCGTGGGTACTGCAGTTGCCTTTCCAGGGACCCTCCTTCGGAATCCCGTGGTTTAAGACCAAAGTGGATTTGCTCGTTCCTGAAACAGATCACTGAGCTGCAAGGGAGTGTTCACCAGTAACAGTCTGTTGAATGAATAAGTTCTAAGCTGAGATATTTCGGACCATCCTGCTTCTCACTCACTAGGGCTGCCTTGGGAATGCAAAGCTCTGGCAGTGTTTTAGGAAACCGCTTCCTGCTTTCTTCCAATCAAAACAATAACAAATAAAATCCGTGAGAGGATGCCGCCTTAGCCTTCCTAAGGTGACTGTGGGCAATTCCAAGGAGTTTCAGTTTGGTCAGGGCTGAAGGTGAAGCTCCAATTTATTGACTGAGTATTGGATGGAGAAGTACAGAAAGATACAGACTGAAGCTGTAGATCTGGGAGTTGTCCACACAGAGGTGATGGCTGGGGTGAACCGGGGTGAGTGCATAAGGCCTGTGAGGCTGACAGCATGGAGTGAGAGGGGCAGAGGGCAGGACTGGGCCACAGGAGGAGAAGAACAAGTTCTTGAAAAAGTCAGAGGAAGCACACTCAGAGAAGTCCGAGGGTTGCTCTGCCTGGCTGTTCAGAGCTTGAGAAGAACGTGGAAAAATACCTAAAGCAAGACTCTAAAAAGGAGACCTGGAAAAGCCTTTAGTGATCACCTACCCTACCTTTCACATTTGACCAATGAGAAAACACAGGCTGAGACATCACTCAGAAAATTAGTGGCAGAGCTGGGGCAAAATCAGTGCCACCCAGTGGTGCTTTTCCAGTAAACTAACTCAACAGGTTCCTTCCTCAAGGACCAAATGCCTTGGGGTCATGATATTTATCTTAAAAAATATGAATTTGGCCTTATACTCAGGAATTTCTCTGGCTTTGCCTTAATGTAAAACTAGTTTTTTCCCCTAAATTATTCAAAAAGATTTATGATCTCTGTGTTTCTCAGTTTTCTTTAAACTCATGTCACTTTTTGATGAATATAAAAAATCTGGAAGTTTTAATACCTACTTTTACTTCCCACCCCAACTGGTGATCACCAATAACAGGATACAATCTGTTCTCAGTATAGACCCGCTAGCAATGTATAGTTTTATGTCATAAAAATGTTTTTCAAATATAAAAGTAAAATAATAATAAATATGCTTTCTCAAGTAACAACCCTCTCCCCATTTGAGAACCATTTGTCTAAGGAAATGGGCTCAACTTATTTCCTGCTTTGTGTACCCTTGGAGCCTCTTCCATATCAGTTAGGGGTGCTTTTAGTTGTCAGTAAAAACTCCCGCAATAGTTACTTAAGCAAAGAAGATATTTCATTATTTCCCATAATAACCAGTGTGAAGGAAGAAGATTCCAGGTTCTGTTCAGCATCTCAACGATAATAGGACTCTCTGGGTTGTCATCTCAGCGTTTTTCTTAGCATTTCCCCGATGGCCCCAAGATGACCTCCATAGCCCCAAGCATCACTTCCTGTGAGGAAGAAAGCAGCAAAGTGGGAAACAATGTTTTTCCTTGTTTTGCTCATTTTCCGGAGAGGAAGCACTTTCCAGAATCCCACCTTTGCCAAGAGACTTTCCCATTTACTTCCTTGGCCACAGTTGTGTCTCATGCCCACCCCTAGACCAGCCACTGGCAATGAGGAACTAGAGCACCGTATTCAGCTTAAACCAATCATGATGCAGCCCACCTTTCCAGAACACGTGCAACGTGGGACTTATACAAACTTCACCTTGTTTTTGTCCAACTCCCTCACTAGAATGCAAGCATCTTGAGGGCATAGATTTTTGTTTTGTTCACTGATATATTTCCAACACGCAGAACAATGGCAGAAATTCAGTAAATAGTCATTAAATGAAAGAAGGAATGAATGACAAGAAAGAAGGGGGTATAAGCTGTAGGTAACCAGCAATGTCCACTGCCCCTGATCACATACAACCCCAGTCTGATCAATGTGATGGTACTAAGTGACCGTTGATCACCAAGACCTAACCTTAATCCTTCTGTCTTTCTTCCCAGGGAGTGAGCCATAGCTGGAGGTTGCTCTTTTGTCAATGACCTTTCCCAACTCTTCCATCATCTTAGAAGATAAGATGTGTGAAAGGAACAGGACCACCATGCCCATCTCCCAGCTAATGCCCCTGGTGGTAGTCCTGAGCACCATCTCCTTGGTCACAGTGATGCTCAACTTGCTGGTCCTGTGTGCTGTGCGCAGCGAGCGGAAGCTGCACACCGTGGGGAACCTGTACATCGTTAGCCTCTCGGTGGCGGACCTGATTGTGGGAGCTGTTGTCATGCCCATGAACATCCTCTACCTCTTCATGACCAAGTGGTCCCTGGGCTGGCCTCTCTGCCTCTTTTGGCTTTCCATGGACTATGTGGCCAGCACAGCATCTATTTTCAGTGTCTTCATCTTGTGCATTGATCGCTACCGTTCTGTCCAGCAGCCCCTCAGATACCTGAAGTACCGCACCAAGACCCGAGCGTTGGCCATCATCGTGGGAGCCTGGTTTCTCTCCTTCCTCTGGATTATTCCTATTCTGGGCTGGCATCACTTCATGCCGCAGATCTCAGGGCAACAGAGGGACAAATGTGAGACAGACTTCTACAATGTCCTCTGGTTCAAGATCATGACCGCCATCATCAACTTCTACCTGCCTACCTTGCTCATGCTCTGGTTCTACGCCAAAATCTACAAGGCTGTCCGGCAGCACTGTCAACACCGGGACCTCATCAACAGATCCCTCCCTTCCTTTTCTGAAATTAAGCTGAAGCCAGAGAGCCCCAAGATGGGGGCCAAGAAACCAGGGAAGAAGTCTCCCTGGGAGGTTCTGAAAAGGAAACAGAAAGTTGCTGGTGATGGACCGGTCTTGAAGCCACCATCCCAAGACCCAAAGGAGATGAAATCTCCAGGTGTCTGCAGCCAAGAGGATGATGAAGAAGTGGACAAACTTCACTGCCTCCCACTTAATACTGTGCAAACACAGACTGAGGCGGAAGGAAGTGGCACAGGCTACATAACCACTGACCAGAGCCAGAGCCAAAGCCAGCTTGAGATAGATGCGCAGAGCATGACTATGCATGGGGCCAGTGAGATATCAGAGGATCAGACCCTAGGCGATAGCCAGTCCTTCACTCCAACAGACTCGGACACCCCCACAGAGTCAGCATTGGGGAAAGGCAAACCGAGAAGTGAGTCCAGCACAGGCCTCGATTACATCAAGTTCACTTGGAAGAGGCTCCGCTCGCACTCAAGACAGTATATATCTGGGTTGCACATGTACCGAGAGCGGAAGGCCGCCAAACAACTGGGTTTTATCATGGCAGCCTTCATCCTTTGCTGGATCCCATACTTCATCTTCTTCATGGTCGTTGCCTTCTGCGAGAGCTGTTGCAACGAACATGTGCACATGTTCACTATCTGGCTGGGCTACATCAACTCCACACTGAACCCCCTCATCTACCCTTTGTGCAATGAGAACTTCAAGAAAACATTCAAGAAAATTCTGCACATTCGCTCCTAAGGGAGGCTGCAGGGAGATGCGACAAAGTGATATTTAGGTTGTCCCTGAAGAAAATGGAGGGGGAAGGCCTGTGCGTTGCCAGGTTCCTGGGCTTTCTGGAGTCAAAACAATAGTCCTTGGGGCTGGGTCATTTGGAAAGTTCTTAGGCACCATCGAAAGAACTGCAAATGGTGGTCAGCAGAGAATGTACTCTGAGTACAAGAGAGAATATTTCCAAGAGAATCGAATCTGGATGAGCACTCCTACTCTCACTGTAATTCAAGCTTCCAGACTTGAATTAATTGGCAGTTGAAGGGACTCATGGGTAGAGTTCCACTGGAGAGTTAGAACTCTAGCTCCTTTCTGGAATGGAGCTATATGACTGTGCAGAGACCTTACACATGCAGAGATACTGTCCCTTTCCAAGGGTCACCTTGAGAGGCATAACAGCTATTCTACTGTGACTGCCACTTCTCAGAATACCTCTCTTCTGAGCCTCTTTTACAGCTGTCTTCAGAACCAGTGTCTGAACCGCCCTGGAAATTCTGCCTTATTATTTCTCCCTCACACACGGCTCAGAGTTGATAGGAAATTGGGCAGCTTGCACACCCATCGTTTTCAACCCCACATTCCTTTTAGCTATTAAAAAAAATGATGATAAAAGCTGCCCTAAAAAGAAAAAGAAATTTTTTAATGGTTTCACATTAAACATTTTTAAAAAGGGAATGGGAGAAGAAAGCTGTATTTCTTGAGTACTATGCCAGGTTTATCTCATTTAAGCCCCATCACACCCTACAACAGGAGGGTGGTATGAGGAGAGACACAAACTGAGGTGCAACATGGTGAAATAAGCTGCCCAAGATCACATAGCTAGTTGTGTGAGAGAACTAGAATGAAAACCCTGTGGGGTCCCCGTTCATCGTAACACATTTTCTCCCAAAAGCAAATATTTGTCCTATGAGTACAAGCGCGCACACACACACACATGCACACACACAAAATTCTTGAGAGTGGTAGCAATTCTCAAAAGAATATGTTGTGAGCAGGAACAGCTGATGTAGACTATGCCTGTGGCCATTGAAGGTGATACTTTGAAGGGACAGTGTGCTACTTATCTGTGAGTTCTGCTGTGTTTGTCCAAACATGGTCATGTTCTTTTACAGTCACATCTCTCAAGTAAAAACTAGTAAAGGCATGGAAACATACAGTTTTACTTGGTGTTCATGTTGTAATCTGTTGGTGACTTATATTTTAAAACTTGATGCTAAACTGTAATATGTGTAGCAAATGGGGTGTCCATGTAAGCTGGCATTTTGTGTCTTGTGTTCCTGTTTGCATGATCTGCTAAAATCAGAGATTTTTTACCTACTTAAAATATGATATTTAAAAGTATACTGTTATCATTTTGACTTACCCAGGTCTACTATTCTGAGTCTCTTGGATGGAGATGTACTGAAATTACTGTCAAATGTTACAAGAGCTCATATAGGGTTTCTCTTTGGTTTCTGATCACATTTGTAAATGGTGTTAGAAAAGGACCTACTTTTCAAAACTAGCTTCACACTCACTCTGCTTTGCATCCCCAAAAGCTCTTCTTGCTCAAAACTGTGGGAGCTAAAGAGACTTTTATCCTGGTTTTAGAAGCTGCAGCTGGTCTGTTTCCAGGTCAGCAGACATTTCTCAGAAGGCCAGTGAAAGCGTTCTTCCCTAGGATCCCTCAGGACCAACGAACACCTAAAAAGACCATTCTACGCAAATGGCTAAGTGCTCATTATTTATGTTGATGAACAGTTAAGGCAACTAGTGAAGAGAAGTGGTTATGAGCTCTGACTTTGGGTCAGAGTAACCTGGATTTGAGTTTGACAAGAACAAGAAACGATCAACATAAATTGTCAGAGCATAAAGAACAAGGTCCATGCATTATCATATACAGTGTTTATGATGCTTGTAGTTTGGTTGGTACACAGAGGAAACTCATATGTCGTTTTCAAACATACTGAGTATATGCTATGTGCCGGGCTTCATGCTTTACCACCATTATCTAACTTAACCTTTATAGCAGTCTCGTGAAGGAGATTTCCATGTTTTCACAAATAGGCAAACTGGATCACAGAGAGGTTAAGGACCAGCTGTAAGATCTGATTCTGAAATGTGCTTCCTTTCCACTGTATCAGCCTGCTATTCCCACTCCTGTCTGAATGATTGGATTAATTTTTGAATTTATGAGGGACTAAATTCATATGAGATAACTCAGCCCCAGCCCATTCAGCAAAGAATCAGTGACCGATGGCTTGCACAAAATCCAGTTGAAACCAGGCTTTCTGCCCTAAATACCTTCTAGGAGAGGGCTGTTATAGAGACCTTGATTATAGATAAGAATTTGAAGATTCAGAAGCTCCTATGGATTTCTTTTTATGGGCTTAAAGCTGATGAGCTTAAAGCCAACTCCTCATATGGCTAGTTTGCCAAATTTATCAAACATTGGCTTCTTTTTAACTATTTACAAGGTTTACAACAATGCATATTGGATGAGGCTTTTAAGAACACTTTTCTACCATTGTGAAGATATAGTAACTGATTCTCAATTTCCTTCATGGCCATGTATTGAAGAAGGTTCAGTATGCTCTGCCCCTAGCTCACTGCTACTGCAGCAACAGACTGAGTTGGAGAGAGGGGAGAAATAGAGGTGAGGAGACTAAGGGTGAGAAGAGGGGGAAATGAGGGATAGAAATTAGAGGAGTGGGGGAGACAGAGGATCAGAGAAGACACACCAAGGGGAAGAGATGAGGGACACCAAGGGACAGAAGAGGAAGAAAGGGCGAGATACAAGTGCGGAAGGACAGAGAAGGGGAGAGATTAAGGAGCAAATGGAGGAGATTAAGAGGCAGACAGATGGAGACAGGGGAAGACAAAGGGAGAAACAGGAATGGAAGGGGAGACAGAAAATAAAAGGTGGAGTGGGGGACAGAAAGAGCGTAAACTAGGTAGCAGAGTATTAATACACCCAGGAAAAAGCTACATTCAAAAACATATTCTTCATTAATGTATTCATAAGTTAAATTTATTCAGAGAAAGAATGAACCATCTTTAGCTTTTGATAAATAGAAAATGCCTTCAAATGCTTCTCTGAGACACATGAAAACCAGTTAACTACCACATCACGTAAATCTTTAAAAGCTTGTGAAGCCATTCCATCCAATAGAAATTGATATAAACCATAGAAGTTGGTCGTTTGGTTCCTTGGTTTACAGAAAATTGTTGGTCTTTCTTTTGAAGTTGGGCCTTCCAGGAGGTAGATTTAATAGTCTTAACACACGGTAAAAAGATCCTGGGGTTCTGCTGGCTGTGATGCACTCTAAGTGCTGTAAAGAAAGAATGCTAAGATCTAACTTGCCAACATGTCATTCCCCAATTTCTTGGGCTTTCAAAGCCAAGGTTGTGTGCCATATGGTTCCCATTGTGGGGACTGTGTGTACTCCTCAACTGAGCTGGAAGATAAGCATGAAAGCAGATTGACCTGAGTCACTTGAATAAGCATCACGGTCTTGTTGACCTGCTATGTCTGAGAACATTCTCTTGCATCTTTCTTGATGTTCCACCATCTTGGTGCCTCCCCATCCTGGGCAGCAAGGCAGGTCTTCTGTTCTGAACCTCACCCTAATAAGGAGGCCACATTTGTGACTTGAGTGACCATCTATTTTGTATGTCCAGACATCATCTGTTAATTTAACAAGTACTTCTTGAACACTTCTTGGGCCAGGCATTAGGAGACAATGGAGAACAAAGCAGACATGATTTCAACCATATGAAGTTACTTTAGGGTTGCAAGCGACAGAAATCAGGTTTCTGAATGGCTACTGAGGTGTTTTGTGGAATCCAGTAAGGTTTTAGATGACCTTGCCTCCGGAAGGGCTTGAGCCAAGTCAGCCACAGGAACCACAATAGTAGAAGAAGTTCCCTCTAGAATACTGCCGTTGACCTATTTTATTTATTCCTGTTCCTACATCTGTGAGCATCAGTTCAAAAGCACAAAGCTCGAGTAAAGAATCGTCCTATGTCCACCTCAGCTGCAATCATCTCTGAAGGGAGGTGGGGTGGGGTGGGAGCAGGTGGGACATGGGGTACAAACATGGCTGGAGGACCAGCAGTTCCTAGAGGAGCAGGAAATATTGTGAGTTGGGAAGAAACCCCAAAAGGTATTAATTACAAGGATCTTGAAGTCCAGCAGGGGAAACAAGCTTATAAAGAACTAACTTCAACCTATCCTCATATATGCTTAATAGAGTGAAGCCTAGAGATGGTGGGTGTCAGGCACATAGGAGGTCACATCCCTACTGTTGTTTTTTTAAATCAAATTTATTACATTAAATATATCAGTAAAATGCACCCATTTTAAATGTAGGGTTCAATGAATTTTGACAAATGTGTACACCCACACCATCTCCAGCTCAATCAAGATAGATAAAACATTTCTAAAAAGTTGCTCATGCCCCTTTGCAGACAATGCCTCCCCTTTATGCCCCAGGCAACCACTGACTTGACTTCTATCACTATAGATTAGTTTTGCTGATTCTAGAGCTTTACATAAGTAGAATCATATAATATGTTCTCTTTTTCCATCAACATTTTGTCTAAGATTCACCCACATTTCAACTGGAGTTTGAAGACAGAAAAAGGGTTAGACAAGCAGAAGAAGTGTGAGGGGATTGCAGATGGAGAGAGAAATGAGCAGGATGTGATTAAAACATCAGAATTAGTGTAGTGTGACCCAAGCATGCAGTCTGAGGGGGCAGTGGCAGGGGAGGAACCTGATATAGTGGGAACAGTTGACAATGTTGAATTTTACTTGAGCCCCGTGCTCTTAAAAACCAGCAATGGTTAAGAAATCCTCCCCCACCCCAACACACACACATACTCTTGTGCTTCTGAACTGGTTTACTGAAAGAAACATCAATTCTCATGACTTAGATGGGACTTATGGGTGCCTCCTTGTTTACTGTGGCAAGGTCAGACACAGTCTTGAATTCCTATTTTTTGTCTCCACTGATTAAAGAAAAATGCCTAATAACCAACTTTAGTTAAGCTCTCATTCCCCAGGCTCCCCAATGTTGACTCACCCACATGCTGAAGCAGCATACAACCCCTCCCGAGAACAGGGGGGGCTCAAGGTAAAACAGTCTGATTTACTACTAGATCAGACCACCCTTTCTTCCCACTTTCCCACACCCAGTTTCTTCTAGTCTTCTTCACTCTTCTTCCTCACTGAAGAAACTCTTTTCGCCTAACCCTTGAGACATTTGCAGATCTTTTGGTCAGAGCGATTTCCTATTGCAATATTTCCCTCCCCTGTTGCAATAGCCTCTCCCCTCTCCTCCCCCATGCTGTGTAAGAATCCTTTTGAATAAAGTATCTCCTTACTAAGTCAAACAGGCTTCGATTAGAATCCTGGCCTGAAAGTTCTTTAACTTCAGCAAGCCCTTAACTTCTCCTGGCCTCCATCCTTTCCTATGTAAAATGGGGGTAATATAACACCTACTTTGCTGGACCTTTGTGGCAATTAGAGATGTGGAAACCTGCAAACATGGCAGATAATCAATAAATAGTAGTCATTACTCTTGTTATTATGAGTCTATAGAGCTACATCAGAGTCACTTTGTGAATGGCCTGACAGATTAGGTTTATACTCACTACTGTATTTTCAACACCTCTGCACTGCTTGGCACATAGTACACGCTCAATAAATAACTTAGGTGCAAAACTATCCCATTGGAAGCGGAGTGCTTTGAGAATAGTGCCTCGGTGAGAATGCGCAGATTGGTCACTGTCGAATTTCATTGGCCTTTACCTATCACAATTCTCATCTTCTGTCTCTCCACGCCTCTCTCCGAATGGTCCCTGGAATACATTTGATGCTGCCTCTCCCCGAAAATGGAAATGCTAATAATTCCTGTCCTCTGAAAAAAAGAGAGAAGGTGGAGCGCTTTTACAAAAGCCTAGGGGCATAAACTCCTTCCCGCCTCGGAGGAGGTGCAGCCTCCCAGGACCTGCTCGCCCCAGGGGGCCTCGCCCACCGCCTGAGGCTCCGCCTCCCCCGCCTCTCAAGTTCC